GCGACGGCACGATGCGACGGGCGACGGCACGACGCAACGGGCGACGGCACGACGCGACGGGCAATGTGTGCGTCGCCTCTTCAAGCAGTCTACTTAGAAGCACCGAGGTAACAGGCGACGGCACGACGCGATTGGCGACTGCACGACGCGACGGACGACGGCACGACGCGACGGACGACGGCACGACGCGACGTGTGAAGGTGCGTCGCTTCCTCATGCAGTGAACGTGCTTAGAAACGGTAATTTAAGAGGCGACGGCACGACGCGACGGGCGACGGCACGACGCGACGCCACGACGCGACGGGCGACGGTACGACGCGACGGACGACGGTACGACGCGACGGCACGACGTGAAAGCACGACGCGACGCAGATTTGGCGTCTATAGAACACCATAGGTCTCGGGCCATGTGGCGGGCTTTCGGAACAGTGGACACAAGTTGTGCATTTTTGGTAATTTTTGGTCCCGTGCGACTTGTGGACTGGGCCCGTGATGGACTTTTGATTTGCCCTCCTTATCTGACTTGTGATTGGCCTGTGATTAACATGGGCTCGATAGGTGGGGGCCGGGGGGGGGGCACTTTTTAAAATTGGGGATATCATGTATCGTTTCCCTCCACTTTTTTCGTCCCCAATAAAATTTGCAGCCTACGTTTGATTCTATAGCCTAGAATACGTTATTCAACGACTCCAAACTCGAATTTGATGTTTAAATAATGATCTTTGTTAGTAAAATGGGTATAGATGTCAGAAATTGTCTCAGATCGCACCACAGATCGTTTAGAATCCAACATTTTTCAGGGCCCTGAAGCTGGCCCCGAACCCAGCATTCATGGCTTCGCGCTCGCATTAGTTCTGATCAAATGTATGGTCCCCCCCCCCCCAATTTTGAGAAGCGATTGACGCCCTTGGGCTTGATTATAGGTTGGTAGATTACCAAACATTTTAATTGTATCATGTTTTTTTTTTATCTCGCTTATTCAATACACAGCTCATGATAATACGGCCTGGTAGATTCCCCAAACTCTCGTGCTATTTATAAATTCTCGTTTATGTCTTTGAATAATGTATGATGTTTTTTTGTGTCCTTGTGTAGGTTTAGTGCCAGTGGATTCTCCGTCGGCTGGCAATTTTTATGTATTTTATGCTAATGTTATTGCTATGCTAAGTATTTTAATTCTGAACTTTCATGTAAATTAAGTATAATTGAGCATATGGCTGCGAGAGTCTTTTATTAATTCATGTCTTTTATTCATTAATCATAAATCAACAACAACCAAAAGACATGGAGAAAACCTAGAACATCATGAACATGAAAGACGAATCAAAAGAAACAGTCTAAATGTCAATGAAGCAAGGAACTAGAAATTAATGTAGAAGTAAGAGACAAAAAAAAGGTCTGCAGAATTGACAAATTAAATACTTAACAATTTAGCATAACAAGAAAAGCATAACAAGAAAAGCATAAACCAGGGAATAACGATTGCTTTGGCTAGGTCAAGGGAATATTGATGAGTGGGATGGGCGATATGAAAGAATACCTTAATCTTGAGAATCAATCCAAACGGGGCTGTATTTTGAGTAGAAGATAACGAAGGATGAGACCAGTGCTGTTTTTGACAGGTGAGTGGTGAGTTGCCGTATTTCGGTTTTTGTCATCAGATTGAATAGGGAGCGGATTTGTGTTTTGTTGTTTTCGTCTATGAAGCCTCTACTTCCTTTTTCCAAGGCGATGAGTTTGGAGTTGAAGCCTATCTCACACAAATCTCGTGTTAGGTTGGCATATTTTTGCATTTTGTAGTCATGGCTTTTAGTTATGTTAGTTTCGAATGGTACCGTAAATTCAACTATGGTGATGTCTTTGTTATGTTCGTCTGTTATGACAATGTCTGGCTCAAGTGTGGTTGGTAGTATGGATGGTGGGATGGTATTGCAGCCAGGAGCGTGTTTACCATCGAGATCGGCAAAGAGTTTGCGGTAAGAGCAGCTGTTGTACATTTTGTCTAGGGATTTACAGATTTCCAGTAAAACATTGTTGTGGCGATAGGTGTAACGGCCTTGATTGAGCATTACTGGGCAGTAATTGAGGATATGTAACAATGTTTCTTTGGATGTACACTTGGCGTCAACTAACTTACCCCAGAGGCAGAGATTAGTATTGACTGGTAGAGTATCTATGATTGCATTGAGTCCAAAGCGAAGAATTTTCCGAGGTAAATTATACATTATTGATTTCCAAGTGATGTTGGATTTTTCCGTTTCCATAAGTTCTAGGAGACGGCCTTGTTTAGCAAGGGATTTGATTTTTGGATCCCATGCATTAGCAATGTCCTTTGCTAATAAACTTAAATAAACCATTAATAATAACTAGAAATGTGTTTGTGGACAAACACAAGCTGTTTCGGATATTTAAAATACTCTGTGCACGTTATGAACAATTGATGACGCCACTTTAAATGTCGCAACACAACACATTATACGTACATATCAAGTTACAACCAAATTGAGCATGTATAGTTCTGTAGATATACGGCTTTAATATAAAAATGCCCCTTTAATTGATGTCTAATTACATTTGATGATGCCATCACTTGAATTTTCATCTATAACACATCCCGGTGTGGGTACATATCAAATTAAAATGCAATCGGATGGTTCTCTAGAAATAGGCCTTATAAAATTGCCCTTTAAATGTGACGTACGGTCACATTTAATGTGATGACGCCATAGTGACGTCAAAATTTTCATCTCCAACATAATACCAAGTTTCCACCCAATCAGACTTGTACTTCAGAAGTTATAGCGATTTGAACAAATGCACATTTAATATGACGTCACGTGACACATGATGACGTCATCGCTACGAAAATCATCGGCACCATCTTCGGGTTTTGGCCTAAGTGTCTGCCAAGTGTGAAGTCAATCAGACATAAAAGTGCCAAAGTGTATGGTTTGAAGAAAAACGTGTACAAAACCCGGGAGAAAAATGCATCTTCAATGTGACGTAACCTAACACCTGATGACGTCATGATTTACTAAAGTGACAAAGTTGAGTGATTTCGTGGTATAGTATTGATCATGCCAACGTGAGAAATGTGAACGTTCAACCAATGAAAGGGCACCGGATTTCATGGGAGTCCAAATCTCATGTGACACTGGAAAGTGTTTAAAACCAGCCAGTCATGTCTTTATCATCTGTTTAAAGAGTGGCCACGTGACGGGATCTCGACCAATAGGAATGGGTAAACTGTATTAGGTATTTATGAATGAGAGGTTGAACTGTACATGTAATAGTTGTACAATATTTAGTATAGTTGCTTTACAATCGTGCAGTAATCCCATATGCTTTTATTTTATTTCATTGTGCTGTATTGTATTTGTAATGTATTGTATTTGTACATAATGTCTAGTCATTTGTCAATGGAGATAAATAATGTGATATGAAATTGAACTGTAGTTTTTATTCCTCCGACAGAAGCGATTTAAAACAAATTAAGTGCACCCTATAGCCCCTGTACCATTATTCTAAACTCTCCTGATATAATACTACGGAATATTGGCTTCGTCTCACGTTCGGCTGCAGTCAAGCTTCATCTCTTGTCTCAAGTTGACAAAGCACAGTATACCATATTGGTCGCCTTTCTGCTGTCCAGACACCAAATTCCGAACAAGGCCGATGGTATTTTTTCTATTGGGTTCCAACGACCGAGTCGATGTGCAGTAGTACAGTGCATGGGTGACGGGTCAGTGCACTAGCTAAATGCAATACAATACAATACAATACAATTTTGCAAGCGCTATCGAAACACAAATCATGAAGCCTATAGTGTGTACAGTAGATTGAGCAACAGAAAGCAAACTCTCGTCGAATGGTTCAGTGGAAATACACATTTGTTGGCCGACGCCATTGCAGTGTCGATGTCACAGGATACGGAATTGAAACTGCTTAGTGTTGGAGGAGGGGACGGTGCGTATAAATATATAATTAATATTAGGCCTACATTCTCACATAATTATTTCGTAAGGCTTTTTGTTTCTATCCTGTACATGTAGCAGCATTGTATATTTGTCTTTGAAAATCATTCTGACCTAGAAAACCTGTACGGTCATTTTATAGTTTATGAGCAGTTTGCTGCAGCCATGGGCGTCGCGGGGGGAGGGTGCCCCCCCCCCCACCGGAAAACGAAAAAAGAAAAAAAAAGAAAAAAGGGGGAGGGGGGAGAGGAAAAACAGGTGCGAACCAATATTGCTGTTAATTTGATGGGGGGTTAGGGCAAATTCTCCCCTGCTTACACTCGGAAAAATGATAAATCGAGAATATAATGGAAAAATTAAGGAATTTTGCGGAAAATTTGCTTTGTTCCCCCCTTCGAAAAAATCCTGGCGACGCCCATGGGTGCAGCTAATCTAACACAGTGACAGTAAAAATGCATTCAGCTATACAAATTAAAGCTGTCACGGCTAACTGCAATGTACGGGTCCTAGTAACAATTTGACTAGTTTTACGTTGGCTGTACCTTTTCATTCTTTGTACGTGCACGATATAAGGTTATATTGCTCACCATCATCTAAACGAACTATTCTACCTGCAGGTCATGTGGTAAGCCAGACCTTGTCCTGTCTCAGAGAAAGTTTAAGACATGACAAGATTTTGAGTTTGGATTATGAGGAACAAGTCATCAATTTTTTTCTGAACTATAAATGGCGATTTTGGTATGTTTTCCTTGCAAGTCCTCCCCCATTCATCGAGATTTGAGAAACGCCCATTTTTCGATGTACTCAATGGGTATTCATCAGTTCGTAGCACGCTAAATGATCAGTGGTGGGCAGCCGAGTTTTGTAATCTTTTTATTAAAATAGACATAACTTGGGAATAGAGTATGCAAATTACGTGAAAGTTTCACAGTTACAAGTCAATAAAATGTACTTTGTTTCAATTTTTTTTTAATGAAATGGAGCAAGCCAAATATTTAAAAATATTTTTTTTCAAATTTGGTCACTTTCTGTTTGACTCACCCTGAAGTAAGTTCCAATTTGAAGTTCAGATCATTCCCCCGCTAATCAACAAAAACATCATCATCCTCGTCACCGTCGGAGAAAATTAAATCAACTTCAACAATGACCGACGGTGATCTGCAGAGGATCGAGGGGGAGCTAGAAAAGAGGCGAACATTCTGCAGGAGGAGAGTCCACGAGGCGGTCTCCACAGAGGATTTAAAAGCTTTGCTGCAGGAAATGTACGCAGACTGGATCAAAAATGACGGCTATGAAAAGGTGTGTTCACAAAAAGACCCTCTGACAAAAACCAAAAAAAACACCCCAAAAACTGTATAGTAGGTTTTGACTGACCTTATGCGTTGAAGATATCTGAGAGGTACTTATTTTGTTGTTTTGATTAAGTAACAATGATTCTTACCCCCCCCCCCCCCCCCGTGCTAAAGATAAGTTTACTCCTGCCTATAGCAACACAATACCAATGCTCTCTAACTTCGCCATTAGGATTCAGGTTGGCGCAGTGGTTACTGTCCTCGCCTTCTACCGCTGTCACCCGGGTTCGATTCCTGTCCTGGTCTACATGTGGATTGGGTATTCAGTCCCTACCTAATCCCGTGGGTTTCACCCAAAATATTCTTCTGTTGTTTTTCCTCCCACCTTTAAAACTGTAATATCTTCTCATTGCCTTGTAGGTTTTCTTAATACTTTCGGGCTACAGTGTCCGTAGGGTGCTTTTGAGGAATCCTTGGTTTCATTACCGGAAATTAGTATATATAAATAAATAACGCATTGTTAAAGCAGTATGGGTGTAGCTTTGTTTGGACAATGCAGTGATCGAATTAATTAACCTGGCCAGCAACTAAATGGGCAGATATTTTGTTGTCAAGTATTGTCGGAAGTTATTAAAAGTGCATTTCCGTGCTGTTTTCGAGTTTCACCTCGAAAACTAGATTTGGTTTTTTAGATAGCACTTTTGAATGAGACAACGAACAGAATATCTACCCACGTTTAATGTCTTCACGAAATTCAATTGTTGGCTGCCAGAGAAAAATTCGATATAAATTGAAAAATCGGTAGGGGTAAAAAAGTACTTAAAAAAAAAAGGTACCAGTTAAGTCACACCACTTTTGAGAAAAGAAAAAAACTGTAAATAATTTTTCTACGATCATTAGTTAATTTAAGTTGTCCGTTTTTGCCATTTTTTCAAGAACCATTTTTTTTTACAAGTTATAAAAGGCACACTGCGGACAGGACTGTCTTTCTTCCTCTGTTTGCAGGCCAGTAAGTATACCTCATTGATAATTACGCGCACTTCGTGATTTGGCCGGCGTAGACAATTTCGGGGTTATTTATTGGCCTGCACCCCTCTTTGATGCGCATGAGTCAAGTAGACAGTTTGAACTTTCATTGTCACTGAAATTTAATCACAAAACCCGTCCGCATTGAGGGCGCTCTTTGCAAGCTCTCTGTGCGGATTCTTTACATTTGAATGTTCGGCATTGTTTTGCAGGATATGGAAGTCCTTGGTTTCACCGCCCACATTGAATTAGCAGAGACTGTGTCACATTTCATCCCAGATAGGACCAGTCGACTGTTGGACTGTGCATCTGGAACCGGTCTCCTTGGGCAAGAGGTCTGTTTGTTCATCGGGATGTCTGTCTGGTTGTCGTCCTTGGGGCGGAGTACGTGGGGTGGGGGTTGGCGATAGATCAATGTTGTATAGGGCACTTCAATTAAAGGGAATGTACATAATTGGCTTTTGCTGTAATTTTCAGAAATGAACTATTTGAGGGATTAATATAATAGATCAAATATTAAAAACTGGGTAGTTATATTTTTCGATGTTTGCAAATGTTGTATATTCCCTTTAAGGTATAAGTTTAATGCTAAGTTTGTACCGGATTTTGAACAAATCGTTCACAATTAAGTCAATCACAAGTCAATTAAAAGTAAATTTCAATCACAAGTTAATCTCATATCAATCAGTATAGTCAATAACGACTCAATCACAAGCCAATCACAAGCAAATCACAAGCCAATCACAAGCCAATCACAAGTCAAAGTCCATCACTCAACCATGCGTAACTAATGTCTCATGGTTCTAAACGTCGCCATTTTGTGTTCAATCGCAGCTTAAGAAACGCGGTTTCCTTCGCATTGATGCTCTTGACGCATCTAAGGAATCTCTAGATTACAGCCGGGAGAAACAGGTATACACTGATTACCTCTGTGAGTATCTGGGACCCAATCGCCTGGCCATTGACGATGGTAAGTACAAAGTAAGTAAATTAAAGTATGTTCGATCTGAGCCATTATGGATCAACGGTGTCTGCCTTTTTTTGTTCTCTCATTCTGTGTTTGTTTTAATAACCTTTGTATCCTTCCCGATTCTTGATGTAGATACCTATGACGGAATCTGCATGTGTGCTGCTATGGGGAAAGCCCACGTCCGTCCCGACTGTTTCCCAGAACTGGTTCGCATCACTAAACCAGGTTAGTGTTTACAAAGAAACAGCTTCACGCGCTGATCATTGAGATCGTATGGTTTGCCCAGGCGATAAGACATTCATTATTTAAGCCCCGCCCGTGATAAAATGACCAATCACGACCATGATTGCGGCTGCAAACGGTCCAATGCGCATGCGTGTTGATGTGTGACGCGCGCGGCTAGAACATGTAGCGTTGCATTAGCGAATTGCACTACTCACGTACACAGTGGGCGGAGCTTAATATATCGGTTACTTAATATGTTCATGTCACTTGTTTTTTTTTCCAAGAAACTATCATAATCATGAATATAATCACGAATTTTCTTTCTTTTGTCTACAGGAGGATACATTATTTTCAATGTGCGTGGAGAAAACCTCACCATTGACGACGTTCTTAAGAACGGCCGGTTGGATGACGTCATTCACAAGATGGCCGCCAAAGGAAAGTTTGAATATCTGGAGAAGAAGCGACAAATGTACATGCAGTGCAAATGCAATGGTAAAACGGAGTACTGCTACGCGTTTGTTTTGAGGGTGATGTGAAATAATGTACAACCCACAACCCAAGCAACTATTCAGCAACTTGTTGAACCCTCTTTTCTGATTATGTTTGAGTTTTTGTGACTGGGTAAATGGGGATTGGATTTGAAGGGTTGGGTGATACTGAGAGGTTAAATATCTTGAACACTTTTGTAACAAATACTTTAAAATACGCTGACGTGCATTATCATAGAGTTGCAAAACAGGAGCATCCTATTATGAACACCATTATAGGGCCCTACCGACTCCCATGAAAATTATCGCACTCCATTTCTGCCGTTTATCATTTTTGAACTAGTAGTGGCAATATATAACTTCGGATTTTGTATTTTATGTACATGTATAATGTGTTTTCCGTTGTGTTGTGTTTTTCAAAGGGAGATAACGTGATATCAAATTTAATTGTATTTTTGTATTCCCCGATCAAAACGATTGAAAAACAACATAATTAAGTGCACCCTATTCGCTCTTTTCACACTTCCGCCATGGGCATGCACAGCCTCGATCTGGCAACTTTACACAATTACTATAGCCGGTTCAGTGTTTTCCGTGTCGGGGCTCAGATCACTAAACCGGCTATTTTTATTGTGTAAAGTTGCCAGATCGAGGCTCTGCATGCCCAATGGCGGAGCGCGAAAAGAGCCAATAGCCCCTGAACCATTATTTTGAACTCTCCTGATACATAGAGTTTACGAAATCTTGGCTTCGTCTCACGTTCGGCTGCAGTCGAGTCAAGCTTCATCCCTTAGTACTGCCGAGTACTTAGATTGCCGAGTACCATTCAAGTCCGAGTACTTTGCCAACCGAGTACAAGTACCAAACTGGTCTCCGAGCACAATTACTTGTACTTCCGAGTACGAGTACGAGTACGAGGAGTACGAGTACGAGTACGAGGAGTACGAGTACTTGTATTTCTAAGTACGAGTCCGAGTACTTGTTAATCGAACGACCATTTTGAGGAACACGTCGGCGTTTCACGTATGTTCCCGACCATTATGACCGTTTGGTCGATTACGTCCGACAACAGATTTTGACGAGCAATGGCCAATTATGTCCGACCCATTGTGTCCGACGGCCGATTATGTCCGACCCATTGTGTCCGACGGCCGATTATGTCCGACTCATTATGTCCGACGGCGATTATGTCTGACCCATTGTGTCCGACGACAGATTATGTCCGACCCATTGTGTCCGACTGCCAATTATGTCCGACCCATTGTGTCCGACGGCCGATTATGTCCGACTCATTGTGTCCGACCCTTTGTCCAACGGCCGATTATACCCGACCCATTATGTCCGACAGCCGATTATGTCCTACCCATTGTGTCCGACGACAGAATACGTCCAACCTATTGTATTTAGTTGGTCGATTACGCCGGATTCGTTCGGTTGTGTACTGACATTATTAAATTATCTTTGGATTGTAACTGCAGATATTTGGCTATAGCGCCATCGCAGATTTGTAATTTGAAAAACTATAGGTAGAATAGGAACTTCTAATTTTTTTAAATGGATGTCATTGCTTGTTATTATACCTATATTTTTTTTCGAAGGACAAATCTGCAATGGCCCTATAGCCAAATATCTTTCTCAAGACATGCCATGCCAATTTCCCTGCTTATATCATCAAATGAACAATTGCATCACTGTTCCCATTTTAATATTGAAGTGTATTCACGTTTTTACTTGAAGTTTCGTTTTAATACTTCAAACTCTTGTTATTATTATTATTACTATGTAGTTCTTGTTTTGTAGTTAAAACTTATTATGTAGTTAAAATTTATTGAAGTCTTTCAATACTTATTGTAGTTGGCGAGATTCTTTGTTTACTTCATCGTCATCAACAGCATCAACCCTTGTTATCATTTTTTCTTGTAACCGTCTATACAAAAAAATCTGGGCACTGTAAGACAAATCTGGTTTAATCAGTACTTTTTATTAATGAAAATAATACCATTTAGTGAAAGGAGATGGGTCATACATAAAACCACAGTTTTGATTTGCATTACATTTGATTTAACAGTAAGAAGTATCTAAAGAAATAAGTTCGGTCATCGTTGTAGTTTTAATGGTCAAATTCTTTGGTTTTTCTTTGATTTTCCTCTGCCAGCGTTAACGGTACATTTGTATCGGCTTTTCTGTAAAACCGGTATACCTTTTGGTTAATCGTTTGATTTATATTTTGAGTAAATATCAAACCGGTATGATAATGTCGATGTTGATGATAATAATGTTGACAGTGGATGATTTGTATATATACTCTTGATGGTGGCATTGATGGCTTGTGCGTTAAGCGCTCGCCTCTCACCAAGGTGACCACGATTCGAATCCTGGCCGCGGATCGCATGTGAGTAGAGTTGTGCGTTGGTTCTCTCCTGTGCCACGAGGGATTTTCTCCGGGCCCTCCGGTTTTCCTCCCTCCGGAAAAATCAAACACTTTCGATCTCAGGCTGTGCTCTGTGGTCATATATGGGTCGATGTGGCCGGCAGCCATAGGCGCCTTTACGTGCCGGCGGCCAGACCACGTTGTAGCTGCGTCCTTCGCAATTCAGCATACCAGCTGCGAGTAAGGATGATTAGCCTCCCAAATTATTATTATTATTATTATCTTATACCGATTGAATTAAAATTCTGTGGACTGCGTTGAATTATTACTGTTATCAATATTCAAAATACAGTTACCACTGTTATCAATATTCAGAATACCCTAAGTCGTCAGTGGCTTTAATAGTTTTAGTGGGACTGTCCACGTTAATTTTGGGTTAAGGTTGCCCCGAAGTAGCTACCAGAAGGGCAAAAATAGCCCAAAGGTCAACGTGTACCTACACATTTTCGCCACTATAGTTATTGATTCACCTCTGTATATTCCAAAACGAAACCACACTCTTGATATAAGGTAATATCAATTAAAAAAATGTAAACGCACAACCTTACAATACGTGACTTTTTTTGTATTATACCCTTCTTGTCTTCCACGATTATCTCTAATTTTAGGTCTCTTACTTGGTGCCCCTCCGTTTCAACGAAAAATCGCCAGCTCTTTACCACTATTATGCACAATTGAAACGATATTACATTTATCGATACTTGTCCAAATTCTCCTTACCCCATTTCCAAACTACAAAAGAAAAATGCCTTAAATTACTGTAAAAAAAAAACCTATTTAAGGGAACGAAATTAAAGAAATAATGAATGAAAAGAAAATCAATGACAGTTAATGTAGTATCCACTAGACTACATCAGTGACTCCTTCTACTGAGTCGTTTTATTCATTATATTATTGCATGTACATGTATTGTGCCATACGCTGCAATTATCCATGTAGGACCGACTTTGTGGTATAGAAAAAAGCTCGCCTCTCGTTAATGCAGTCCTCGGCACGTCTGTGGATAGGGCGCCCTCATTCGAGCGGTGCTTCACTGGATGTTTTTTTCCCACTTTTATTTTACCAACCGCCCTTTATAACATTAACAGGGTCCTGATTCCGATAAGTGTTGCAATTGCACTCAGTGAGGAAATTGCACTCTATGAAGAGATTCCTTCATAGAGTGCAAAACATAATTAGAACATTAAAAAGGCACTTGTGAGAGTAGCTAGAGCCTAAAATAGAGGATGAAATAAATCAGAAAATCAGATTCCTGGTATCCAATTCTGTTCAAATCCAATCTTACATTCATGAGTTAATGCTTCTTAATACGGCCGCATTGTCACACTACGGGATACAGATAAGAATTGCCTTCCACATTATCAGCAATGTAGACCTACATGCAAGTTAAACAAAATCCTCGATCGGCCGTCGGACACAATGGGTCCGACATAATCGGCCGTCAGACACAATGGGTCGGATATAATCGGACGTCGGACACAATGGGTCGGACACAATCGCCGTCGGACATAATGGGTCGGACATAATCGGCCGTCGGACACAATTGGTCGGACATAATCGGACGTCGGACACAAAGTGTCGGACATAATCGGATGTCGGACATAATGGGTCGGACATAATCGGCCGTCGGACACAATGGGTCGGACATAATCGGACGTCGGACATATCGGGTCGGACATAATCGGCTGTCGGATATAATGGGTCGGACACAATCGGCCGTCGCTCGTCAAAATCTGTTGTCGGACGTAATCGACCAAACGGACATAATGGTCTTGAACATACGTACATGAACAGCCACAGGCTTTTCATGTAGCGCGCAGGTACAGCCATGACCTCGTGACTTTTATTAGTATGCGTAATGCACGATACTGAAATCCGTCCATTCGCGTACTTCGCTATGCGCCAATAGCGAATACGTGGTACGGAAAATAGGCGCTAGCGGATGCCGGGAGGTGATTTCTGATATGCCGCTCAGTGATCCACATATTTAATATTTGTCAATATTATATCCCTGTGGGGGTTTGGTTTTCCCCAAATCCACATTTTTAATATTTAAATGTTGCACAATTGCTGACGTTCGCGCCACTTAAAAAAAGTTACTCGTAAAAAAGGGCGATTGTAAAAAAAAGGCGCTCATGAAAAAAAAACGCCTTTTTTTATACATGAGTGCACGTTTTTCACGAGTGCCCTTTTTTTCACAAGTATCCTTTTTTCACGGGTGGCCTTTTTTCACAAGTACCCTTTTTTTCATAAGTGTTTTTTTATCACAAGTGCCTTATTTTTATGAGCGCCTTTTTAGCTGCGGGGTAGCAGCTCAACAAATCATCATGTCTCTCCGTTAGTCCGTTAGTAAGTCCGCTGGTTAGTTAGTTAGTTGGTTAGTAACAAACGTTGACTCTGTCTATTACTCCTACATACTTTGACCGATTTCAACCAAACTCTGTCAAAAATATCAGTAGCCCAGCCCCAAAATATGTCACATGACCAAACTAGGGTTAAAGGTCATTAAGGGGTCACTGGGGTCAAAAACCTGATTTTTAAGCTATGACAGGAGCTTCTACATGTCACTTGGTGGTCGGTCGCTCTGTCCATCTATCTGTCACCGAAAATTGACCAAAAGTATGGTGTTCCGTATGTGCCATCGGCGTCTTATTTTGAAGCTCTGGCAGGGATCTTTTTGATCGATTTCATGCAAGACTTCTTGCAACACGGCCAGAGCTTATTGAAAACACTACTCCTTCTTGAAATAACGTGGCACAATGACGTGACTTCTGCATGAACACGAGTTCGTTTGCCCGCAGCTTCCGAGATATTTCCGATCGAGCTTGTTTTCATGAGTGCCCTATTCTTTAAGAGTGCCTTTTTCACTAGTGCCCTTGTTTACAAAAAAAAAAAAAAATAGGCACTCGTTAAAAATATTGGCAGGGGGGGGGGGATACCCCTTTACCCCTCCTCTGCCTTCGCCACCGAAGGGGGGTCAAGTTCCTGGGCACTGTATTTTTCTGAACAATAATAATGATTAAAAATATAATTATAATAATTAATAATAATACTTTATTCGGCAAATTTATATACACACAATTACAATAAATACATTTATTGGATATTAAAACAAAAGGATACAAACAATAAGAAACCAACTAAACTGTACACACGAAAGACAGAACGTGGACAGTGCAGGGCTGCCAAGGAGAAAAACAAAAGTGAAACAAAACACTGCCGCCAATAGGGCGTGTCTCTCCAACCCTGCACAATGACAGACACATAACACAGACCAAGCACACAACAATCAAAAACACCAACATTGCACAAGAAAGGAAAGGTCCAAGGGAGTATAATGGGATTCAAAATATGGGCAGGGCAGAGGAGACTAAGAAAAGGAAGTGGAAAGGAGAACCCAGGAAACCCAGGAAGGGGAGGGTTAAACAGGGCCAATGGGAAGAGGAGGGCTACGACAGGAAATGGGAAGAGAAGCGAGAAAACCAACTGTAGAGGAGAGGGCTGGGAAAGGGGTATGGTGGAGAAATTTATCCAGCAGAGCAACAAAAAATGAGCAACGAAGAATAGCATTAAAATTGTGCTAAAAACAACAGCAGAGTGTGAAAAGGTTGTTTCAAGTTATGTCTAAGTAAAAATAATCGAGGATGAGATTACAGATTACAGATTAAGTTATCGGGATAAGTACTCCATTTCCTAACAAACTGACAGGGAAAAGAATATTTAAATATGGAGCATACAGGTGGTGAAAGGTCAACCGGGAGTGCGCATGTCTACAATTCACATTGAAAAAAGACGTACAAAAATCACCCTAATTGCCAGATGTCAATTGCTTGCAAACAAATGTCATGAATGAGAACTCTCGCCTGGCGCTAATGGTGCCTAAATGGGGGACGTCTATAAAGTCCAACGTCCCATTGGTCCGACGTTCCATTGGTCCGACGTTCCTTTGGTCCGACGTCCCATTGGTCCGACGTCCCATTGGTCCGACGTCCCATTGATCCGACGTCCCATTGGTCCGACGTCCCATTGGTTCGACGACCCATTGGTCCGACGGCCCATTTGTCCGACGGCCCATTAGTCTATACGTCCCATTGGTCTGACATCCCATAGGTTCGAGGGTTAGGGTAAGGGTTAGGGTTGGGGTTAGGATTCAGGGTTAGGGTCAGTCAACCTGAGCCAATGGGTCGTCGGACCAATGGGACGTCGGACCAATGGGACGTCGGACCAATGGGACGTCGGACCAATGCGACGTCGGACCAATGGGACGTCGGACCAATGGGACGTCGGACACTGAGCCGCTCAGGGTAAGGTTGCTCTTGTCTACGTTGATGTAAGATGTGACGAGTGGCATACCTTTGGAACTTTTCAAGTTGATCAATGTGTTTAACTCTGTACAGAGACCAGACAGGAGAACAATAGTCGAGAACAGGCAAAACAATTGCTTTGTGACATATTTTACATGCGTTGTAGTCCTTAGCAGAAACTAGTGTACATTGTGCAATTAAGACAAATAATGCAATTTACTGATCACCACCCCCAGCGTGTACATGACCCATGCCCATGCCAGCCTGGCCAGCTAGCGTGGCATGTTTAAACATATCAGATACTGCAGCCTGTCAAAATTATCAGGAGTCGGTTTGTGGTCCGTAGGCACGTGCAATTAGAATCATTGAATTGACACTGGTAACCTAAGCTGTCAATCAAAACAATTGTTTTAACAATTGTGGGTCCGCGTATTTATTTCATATAAGTGTCCTCGGCATTTGTTTTTTGATTTTGTGATATGAAAGGACTTGGTGAGCAAGTAACCAAAATAATAACTTAAAAATATTTGGGGGATTGTTGATGATAAAAGCATGCCAATTTCCTACCTACATGGTCAGCCTATGTCTTAAGAAACATCTGCGATGGCCCAAATACTTTTCTCATGACATATTCTGATTGTGTGCCAAATTTCATGCTTTTATCATCAAATGAACAATGCTATCGCCTTTCTACCATACTAGTACGGTGATGGCAATT